TCCAGCGGATCATCCGGTTATCCCTCCAGCAGATCATCCGGTTATCCCTCCAGCGGATCATCCGGCTATCCCTCCAGCGGATCATCCGGTTATCCCTCCAGCAGATCATCCGGTTATCCCTCCAGCGGATCATCCGGCTATCCCTCCAGCGGATCATCCGGTTATCCCTCCAGCAGATCATCCGGTTATCCCTCCAGCGGATCATCCGGCTATCCCTCCAGCGGATCATCCGGTTATCCCTCCAGCAGATCATCCGGTTATCCCTCCAGCGGATCATCAGGTTATCCTTCAAGCGGACTTCCCGGTTACCCATCGAGAGGCAGTTCTGGTTATCCAACAAGATCTGGATATCCAAGCAGTAATAGCGAACAAACTGTTAGACGAACTGACGCTAGTACTGTAAATGCTGCCTATCCAAGCTATCCAAGCTATCCATCAGTATATCCGGAAAGAAATCCATCTCGCAGTAATTATCCGTCTCAAAATGCAGGATATCCTTCTTCAGGGTATCCAGCATATAATAATCAACAACGTCCTCCGTATGCAAATCAAGGTTATCCACAAAATTATCCACAAGGACGTTATCAAGAAGGATATTATCCAGGTCAAAATTATATGACCACCACCAAACGTCCTGGTATTCGAGATCAACTGACGAATTTAGCGCGAAACGTGGCAGAAAGGGTGCTAACGCAAACGATAGTAGATCGTGTCACTGGAAGACATTAATAAAGCTGATAATACTACAATCTTATTTTCTGTAAAATCTGCATAAGGATGTTCCAAAATATAGCACTTTTTTGCCATTAAATTATTGGATAATAGATTGCTATGATTGTAAAATAAATGTATGCCAAATATGTACTCTCTTTCTTTTATTTCTTCAGACCTTAAGTTGAAAACGCTTGTATAATGTTCTAATTTAGAGAAAAAAGAAAAGTACGAAGAATATAGGAAAAATAAAGATCATAATAAGCAACAACAAAGGGCGATGATTTTGCGCCGATAATGAGTATCGATATCTCGCATTCGTGCTTTAAGCTTACGATACGAACACGAACACGTGACCGCGTTAGTGCGCAGGGGCGGCCGATGATGGATGTCGATGTTATGAACGTAGTGTTTCCACGACAAAATTTTCACGTGACAACTCGAAGGAACGCGCGGGAAGTTAACGATATGATGTTGTGAGACGACGATCCTACAAAATCTTGACAAAAGCGCGACAAAAGACTTCTTCGTGAACACCCGTTATCCTGCGTACCGCCGAAATGCCGAGCAAGGAAGAGGAGAACTTTTGCAAGAAAATGGCAAAAGCCACCAGAGGAATACACGCAATCAGCGATGCTCTAGTGAACGCGAAATTGGCATTCGGTAAGAACCACAGGATACCGCGAAGGGTTTTCAAAATGTTATAAATATTGGGGTTCTAATTTGGATGTCGGTATAAATTGTGCATACGTGATTGCACACTGCTAAGACAAAGATTTTTTCACAAGATGACAAAAGCATCATAAACATGAGTTTTATATCTTATTCTAGCTTTTCTGTTTCTATATGTTGGGTGTAAATTTCAGCAATTATTATTTGTTATTTTTTAAAATCTTTGACTTGGCAAATGTGTTGACAGTATATAAATAATAAAAATCTGGTGATTTAACATTAAGTGCTTATATAAATGCTCTAAATATTATATAAATTTGTGTTTACACATGCATTTGTTACAGCGTAGAAATTATTCTTTAGGTTGCATTATTAGGTTGCATATTAATCGTTACACTAGTGCAATGACTATAATTCTAGCTTTGTATTGTAGTTTTATGTACTCCAATTAGGGTTTCTCGATAATTCTGTATGGGGTGATGGGCTTCTGGTTTTCTACGAGATCTTCCGCTACTTAGAGGGTGCAATGATTAGATTAAGAAACACCAAAATTGGATTACTTCCACTCAGTGAGCTTCAACGTACAGAAGCTTTTGAGCGAGATCTTGATCATTACTTGGGGAAAGGGTGGAGAAAGAACTATAGTCCTAGGTATACATTATGTATAATAGAATACATATATAATGTTACAATGAAAGTTCTGCCACTTGTTTTCTTCCACTTATAATACAATAATACAAATGTCAGTCTTTTACAATAGTAATTTGGTAATAATTTAATTATTATAAAAAAATGTTTTCAAATGTAATTTTTCACAAATGTTTTAGGGATAGTGTCACCAAATATCTGATGCGTTTGAGAGAAGTAGAAGATACGGATCCTACTCTACTAATGGCGTACATTTATCATCTTTACATGGGTCTCCTTAGTGGCGGTATTATTCTGCGCAAAAAACGGCAACTCATGCAAAAGATCTCGCTTTTTAAATCACCACCACCGAGTGATGGTAACAATGTTACAGACTTTGGACAAAACAGTATATTTCAATTGAAGAGGGACTTACGCGAATCTATGAATAGAATCGCGGAGACATTGGATGAGGACACGAAAAATAAACTTATCGAAGAAAGTAAAATAGTCTTTGACTTGAATAACGAAATTATCAGAAGTGTGCAGACTGGCAGTCATGTCTTTGAAAAATTACTCTATTTTATCGGTCAAATTGTGTTAATCCTCTGTGTCCTGATAATAGTCCTCAATATTCTCTTCAAATACATTATACGTTAATAGATGTTACTTTGATTAATGCTAATTTAACGTCGATTCGGTAAAAAAAAAAAAAAAGAAAAAGAAAAGAAAGATTATAACAATTTCAGCAAGAAAGTGCTGATATCAAAACCAAAATGTACAATATATTATTTATGCGCTGTAATTGTCTTTCTATAGTTATAAATGGATTACCACCATTATTTGTATGACATGATTTAAGAATAACCTGTTTCTTAAAGTTTATCATATCGAAAATACTAAATTATAAAGATTTGGTTAAAAAGCAACAAAACACAAATTTGAATTCAGCAGGTTATTGAGATTTATTTATACTTGGTATAGGACGAAGAAAAATTTGTGCCCCGTGTACATTAATCAGTTTCAAAGAAAAATTAATTTTCTGTGAAACTGATGCACTATCATCCAGCTCTTAATAGACTGCTAAATTGAAACTTTATTTTGTTTCAAATTTAAAAGTATAAAATACTTTTAAAATCTTATTTACGCGACATACGGCTTCTTTTCTCTGTAATCAGTTTTCATATAACGGTAAATTCAAAGCATATGAATTTCCACTAAATTTATCATCACGTTATAGGATAGAGAGGCTTATGTTCGGATAATATATATATATAGTATGTATATAGTAAGATAAATATATACAAGAGAGATCAAAAATTGAAACAAATTCAAATTTAAATCAATATTAGAAGGATATTGAATAATATAAATGATAATTAGAAATAATAACACGTTTTAAACGTGCAATAACTTTTCGTAATCTGCAGAGATCGAAAGTTCCTGCTCTCCTAGAGATTAATATATCTATACTTCTGGTAATCCATTCTTCCGAATTATTATATACATAATGACTCTAGAGTTTTCAGTATTTCTTGTCTATCAAATTTAAAATTCTTCCAACTCTCTAAATAAAAATCAGCAGCAGAAAGATCTTGATAATCCATGTAATTCTTCGTTAAAAGCGGTGAATCGTCGTGTTCTACATTTATAAAAGGAAGCGATGAAACGGTTGTAAAATCCTTTTGTAATTTGCGTGCAGCTTCTCCAAACAGTAACGCCTTAATATTTCCCTCTGGTAGGCTTTTCTTGCGACAGTCTGGATGAAAAAAATTTTCATGCAGTACTAATAATAATATCGGAGATTGTTATTGAAATATACATATATATTAGAAGGTAAGCATATTTATATGACTTAGATTATCGTTAAAATGTATTATTTATAACATATATTCTTCTAAGTGCGGAATATTAAGCTATAAATAGAAGAGAGATCATCTTTAACTAGTAAGTTTACCTTTTACTTCTTCCCAAGATTGAGCTTTGTAATTGAAATCATTGTACTTGATTGACTGGATCGCAGGATCGATTAGAAATGAGCATGGCTGAGCAGGGCTGTCTATCAAATGTCTAGCGAGACCCTGTGATTGAGTTTCTTCGTGATCTCCAAATAGATTCCGTTTAAAGGCTGCTTTCGATACAGCGTCTTTCTTATTGTCACTTGTACCACGACGATTGCGAGCCGGAGAGATGTTCGATTGACGGTTGATCTTAAAATCTGGAACTTCACTCTGTAAATGGAGCGAGAATTAGTTTATAGAACATAAAAAGAGAGAAATAAAGATACAAGATGTGAAGGCCTACTTGTGGTGGGCAAGTGGAAAAATTATGGAAAAGTATCTGCTGTCGTTTGCTCTTCGAAACCGTCTCGACTTCTCCCAACGATTTATGCCTTTGTCTTCGGACGGTCATAATGGCATTTTTTTCACGTTGCTGTTTCTCTTGAATCCACCGCTTCACCCGTCTGGATGAAAGAGCGATATTAAAATACATATGTAACACAATTTTTCAATAAATATATGGGTTTTATAGATAATTATTAGAGAGATTAATTACTTACTTGACAAAAGGTACAACCATAAAAAACGCGTTTGGTCCAACGCCAATTTTCACTTTAGGAGTCATATCTTTCTTAGTATTGGGCAAATCTACCACAGAAAACCACTCGACATTTTTTATTTCTTTCCGCGTTTTCGGTTGGAACTTTGTATCTTTTTGCACACCCGAGATAATGTACAGTCTCACTACTTGATCATTTATTATAGATTCAATATATTCGTTTTTATCTATCAAATTAGATATATCAAAACCAGTTTCTTCCAGCACTTCTCGAATGGCGCAAAGAAAAGGCTCCTCATCCTCATTTACTTTTCCTTTGGGAAAACTCCAGCTGTTCTTTGCCCAGTAGCTCTGCACCAACAGCACCTTGGTCATGTCCTCATTTAGCACAATCGCTCCAAATGTTGGCACATTCTGCTTGTATTCTCTCCATTGGTCGAGAACAGCATCAATATGCTGCAGATGTGGCTTCAAAAAAGGTATGTGCTGGAATATATGGGTGGCAAATTCCTTCATGTTACATGATCTTAATTTAGGATTCTCCTCTGTGCAGTAGAAGTCAAGGTAAAACCAATGTGCCAATTCAATTTGGAAGCAAATTCGCACCAAGTCTTTCCTTTCTTCCTCAGGGACATTAATGATAAATCGACTGCAAAGAACAAGTTTAAATATGATATGTTATAAATTCTGATTATACTCTGAAAAAATACATGTGATTCAATTGTGTAAATGTTCTCTCCATTAAGCATTAATATTGTTATAATCTAATATTGTGTAGAAACTAACCTGCTGAGATCGTCAAGGATATCGGATGGAATCGTGTGTTCCATTATTCCAATGGATCTTATTCTTTAATTAATTTATATCGATATTTTTGACACGTTATTATGCAAGGATAAGAACAAAAAGTGTGACATTATTGTACAAGAAATTGATCCCAAATGCAGGCATGAAATTGAAAACAAAAAATTAATATATGGCAAAAATGTCATAAAAATATTAAAATTTTTTAAACCTAACAATATATAACATATACTAATTATAATAATTTAAATGACTAATATAATTACAATGATTTGTCTTTGACAGTTACACACTCACGATCAGATGTATATTTCGATTAAAATTACTTTAAAACAGATATTGTATACGATCTGTACACTTCCTCAAAGAATGTTTTGCACGAAAGATATACATTAAAATGTTATAAATTTCGCTTTATTGTAATAAAGAACTATTTAATTAAGTCATGTTATCCGCACATGATCCTAACCACCAGCACTAATCACAGGAGCCATGTTGCTTTCAATTTATGTACAGCGAAATTTGTGTATGTGTTTTTTATATTGTTTTCTATTTATTTGCAGTTCGCAAGCGTGCAAAAAAACGAAGCATGAGTATACAGTACAAAATAACACATGACTTTCGCGATTGGTTAAAGGCTTTCTAAAAATGCCAAAACAGTCACGCACACACAGTCGTGTACTCCACGCTTATTTTAATTTTAATCAATAAAAATGATAATTTTGATGTTGCAATGATGATTTATGTATGCATCGTACAAATGAGAAATATTTGCAATCTATAAATATTACAACATAAATATATCAATAAATATTTACAATCTTAAAGGCTTGTATTTATCAAAATATAATAAGATTTATTTCGTTTATTTATTTCGTATACCTATTGCATTGCAAAAATATTTTCTTTTTATAACAATTATTACTAGACTCTGTTAGAAATAATGCTACAAGAGCTTTTTCTTCGCTCAAGGAAACAAAGTTGGTAAAGTTGTGAAATATTATTTATTGTGCGTTTGACAAAATAGAAAAATTTCTGCTAGCTAACTAGTCCTAATAGTTGTTGCAGTATAGCTTCTGTATCACTATCATCATTGTTCTCCAGCAACAAATCCCAATCACTTACATTGTCCAAATCACACTCTGTTTCTGAATCATCTATACCTATAATTATAAATGGTAGAGAAATTATTTTCAAGAAGGTTATACAAGTCTTCTTGAAATTATTATATATATTACAGTTTCTTATTTCTTACTTGGTGTAAAGATCCAGCCACGTTTTTGTCTAACTTCCTCAGAGCAGGCTATATGTATATTTTTACATAAATCTCCAAAATTTTCCATAAACCACTTAATATCAGTCTTTCTTCTAATATCACTTATTATCCACACTGGCTTACCCCTTGCTGTGAAGAATATTTATTTAAACACACATTTTTGTATAAAACTTTTTTTTCTATAAATCTTATATATACAAACATTATATACATATTCTAACTGTTTAATATGAAGAGTTTGCTGTACCATTATACATATCAATAGCAGCACGACAAAAGTAGCCATAATCTTTCTTTCGCATATCTTCTCCCCACTTAACCATATCAAGTCGATATTTTTCCTTGTATTCTCCATGTCCCAGTAATTGGTTGATATCAAGATTCAAAGATTTTGCCCAGTGCGTTTTTATAGGCCCTGATAATCGTATAATTACACTCCTTTGCGAACCAATTCTGAAATTGATATAGATTGTACTTAAAATATTATTTTTATCTTTCTGCGCTAACAAACAATTGATTCTATAATTAAAAACTAGGAAATACACTTTTAATATGATTTGATTTTATCATTACCTTTTTAAAGTACTTTGCCTTAATAACTTAATATTAAATTTTTATGTGGAATAGTGTGTATCTCTACATTATTATTGATTACAAAATACTGGAGATGGACAATACCTTTTATGCAAATTATCAGTGATATAATCCTTTCCGGACTTTCTCTTGCCGCTAAACAATAGAATTCTCTTCGGTTTCGTCGAATTATTTATCTCGAATTTCGTGGAAAAATCGCATGTGTCTAGTTTAACCTGTTCCGCGGCCATATTGATATAATATAACTGTATAATTTTATACAGTTCCTAAACCATCAAGTATACAAAACGATGAAAAATATATAAAACCCGCGATATTTTGAGCTATTCTGTTATTTTATATCTACAAAATTTTCATTTTGAATTATCTCATATGTATACTTTTTCTAGATTGTATCGTACAAGAATATAAAACTCGGAAATTATAGAGATGTAGGATAAGATTTTGGATTTTTTTTACGAGAGCAAGTTTTTAAAATTTATTTTAATAAAATCATTATAGTTTACATAATGTATTTATGTCTGTTTTTTAGCTTCACGAAGAGCTTTTCGCTGCTCTGCCCTCTTTATTTGAGCCTTCGGTTTAAGATTATGCTTCTTGGCAAAGCGCTGATTCCTCAGGAATTTCAAATCCATCTGAAAAATGAACATAAAAGATACATATATAATTTTAAAAGCAAAATTGCAACAAGATCTCAAATTACATTAATTATCGATAACATGTACTATTTGTATTTTTTACTAAGTAATGTTTTATACAATATTTTAGATAATTCTAATTTGATTAAATAGTATAGGAAATAGAAAACATTTAAGTATATATAAGGGCACAATAAAACATTTCAATATAAAACTTACACCAAGTGTGGATTCGTGTCTGTACCTCTTAGGCTTCTTGATGCCATTACGATGAGCTTTACGATCTATAAAAAAATACAAATTAATAAAAACAATTAATAAAAACTTGTTCAATTTGTGAAATATATATTTCATTGTATTTAATGTCATCACCAGAATATTTAAAAATTATACATATCTTGGTTAGGATATTTCAATATTTAGAAACGTAATTTTTATAATTAACTGTAAGATTGTATACTTACTCTGATTGTGATTTGTGTGATTCTTTGACTTGGCCATTTTCTGGATTTATTTCTTTCTATCTGTAAGAATAATCGATTATTTAAAAAAAAGATTATACTATAAATCAGCTATTGAGGTTAAGTAAGTCGTGAAAGAAACTATCATTTCTCTACAGGGTTTTATATATATTCTAATCATGAGAAAATATAAAGAATTAACTATTATAATCAATAGAAAAGTCGCGATTCTTTGAACATGTCTTTATTTGACCAGATTAAATAGATATTTGGATAAAAAATTGTAAAACCTCGAGAAACCGTACACAAGCTTTCAGAAACGGAAGCGGGAAGAATATAGAGAAGTACCAAACACGTGTTATGACGTCAGCGCCACAAATATTCTTCGCAATCTCTCTTTTACAACTTGAATAAAATTACATGCCAAAAAATAATATAAATAGATATTAATTATTATAGATATATTTAGAAAAAGAATATTATTCCAAATTCTTTATAAGAAAAGACACATAAAAAGTATGTTTATCTATATTATAATA